TTGTTAATATTTGCAGGCTCCAAACACTACTGCTTCTTCCCTACAAATGTGATTGTGTATCTCTGACCTTATAGAGAGGCATTAGAAGGTAAATCTTGTATTAAAAATGTCTTCTCATGACCCCCAATCTCCATGACTAACCATTTGGCATCTTTGCATAGTATAATTCTCCCGTTCTGGGCTCATGTTCCATTTTCCCATTCGAGGGAATAATACTTAGTGCATAAACACATTCTACTGCTGATGTTTGTGCATGAGGCCTGTCAACCTGCTCAGTAAGGCTAATACTGCTGTAGAAGGTGGCAGTGATGTGGCAGGAAAAGGGGAAACTACTGCAATTATAAGATAGTATCCAGACACCAAATTTGAGACTGGCACATTTTGATCCTGTGTTTCATTTTCATACATGCATTTGAAACGTATTCTCTTGGGATTGTTTATGCTTCAAGCCACAAAATAATGTCTTAGAAACTGTTTGAAAAGATTGGCGTGTACTCACTGCATGTGGACAATCTGAGTTTCCTCACATGAATCAGGGTACATGATTATGGATGAGTCGATTTGGGAATGTCTCCAGATAAAAAATGGCTTTTTTTTTAATTGGACTATATCTGCAGGAATGCAGCCACTGGGTTCTGAGACATTTCTAACAGCGATGTTGGTTCAAGCCAGTGGTATCATCTGGGCCCTTGGGCACATAATTTTGTGGACCCATGCATTTATTTGTATGCTTTCTCTGCAATCATTCCACCACAAATAGAATGATTCTGCAATTCTGTTGCTCAGTCAGGAGGCCCAAAACTACTGCTAAGGTACGCTGTGAGTTTCATAGGAGACAGAGCACCTAACTCATGTCTGGCACAGAACAAGAATATCTTCAAAACTGGAACTCTCGGTACTTCTTCTGATGCTGTTGGTGGGATGGTTGTTGCAATTAAAAGATGAACAAACAGTACTATATTTTCGGCAGGCACTAAAAGAAAATGATTTTGGAGATTCCTTAGTAAGTTAACCATAGAATTACCAAGTGACCCAGTAATTCCACTTCTAGGTACATACCCCAAATAATTGAAAACATATTTATGCAACACTTGCACACAAATGTTCATAGCAGCACTTTTCACAATAACCAAAAGGTGGAAACAACTGAATTGTCCATCAACAGATAAGTGGATAGACAATAGTGGTTTACTTATAAAATGGAATATTATTCAGTTATAAAAAGAAATGAAATATTGATACATGCTATGATAATGGATGTGCCTCCAAAATATCATACTACATGAAAGAAGTCAGGCAGAAAATGTCACACTTTGTGGTGGAATTCCATTTATATAAAATAGACAATTCCATTGAGACAAAAAGTAGATTAGTGGTTGTCAGGGGCTAGGAGGAGGAGGGAAGGGGAAGTAACTACTTACTGAGTATGTGGTTTCCATTTGGGGTGACGAAATGTTCTGGAACTGGTGATGGATGCACAACCTTGTGAATGTACTAAATATCACTGTAAGATATTCTTTGAAATGGCTAATTTTATGTTATGCAAATTTTACCACAATAATAATAAAAAACGATTTCAACCTAAATATTTTTGAAAAGGAAGTTGGAATCCCCTAAAACAAAAGTTCAGCAAACACTGCTGTCATGATTGCTGCCAATGCTTCCCGGGCATTCTCTTCTGGTCTATAGTCTTCCAGACCTTTTAACCGGTCTTCAGACTCTATAGGGGGATTCATCTGCAAAGTGTATAACCTTGTGGCACATCTTGTTCCCTGGACTTATCTGGTGGACTAGGTTGTCATTTTACCTCATCTTAGATCCTCCAGTTCAACCTCCCCCTCAAATTGTAGGTGAGAACCAAAGTCTCATTGAGGAAGGCACAACATCTAGGGACAGCATGTCACGAAAAATTTCCAACTCACCAATCCTGATCAACTGAGTGCCTCAGCACTTACATAAAGTCAGCACAAATACCCTGAGAACCCAATCATTCAGCTCAACAGGTCTGATGTCATTTTAAGGTAAATACAGAAAATGATAAGCTAAAAAGCAGATTGCATTTATAAATCACATAGAGGGGAAATCAATGTGCAAAATCTACTTTCACTTATTGTTGAATTCTGCTTTCAACATTTCCATTCAAAAGTAACTTTGCATCTGTTAAAAATCTAGGATTTGGGGGGGTTTATTTTACTTACAAAGATGATGCTCTTGTCACTGGTATATTAAATGCAGAAAGCAGAAATGACAGTCGTCGGAAATTAAGAGTGCATTTTATATTTGCTGTGAAGCCCATGACTCAAGTTGAAGGGGAACTCCTTGCACTCAGTAAATGTACAGTGAGTCCTCATAAGTTGGGCCTAAACATTACTCATGATAGCACAAGGAAGTAATCAGCAGTTGTGGGGCACGGCCAGGGGAGAGAGGAAGGGGAACACGTAACAACATAAAAGGTACCTGATCCTAAACCAGGGGAAGTGAGGACCAGTTGGAGGTCCAAACTTTACCTGCACATAAATTACTTATGTACCTAATCCTGACTTGTATCTCACATCTTTAAAATAAAATAAAATATTGAAACAGGACCCCTATCGATCCCCATGCACAAAGGTTAACTCCAAATGGATCAGAGACCTAAATGTAAAACCTCAAACCATAAGAACCTTAGAAAATGAAGGAAATACCCTCATGGAAATAGGAACTGGCATCCAATTCCTGAACAAAACCCGAAACTCACAGTTCATAAGAGAGAAGATAGACAAGTGGGATCTTATTAAACTGACAAGCTTCTGCAAGGCCAAAGAAACCATCAAGAGAGCAGGGAGACAGCCTACAGACTGGGAAAATGTATTTACCAACACCAGGTCTGACAAAGGCTTAACATCCTGAATCTACAAGGAACTAAAACGTGCTTAAAGGAAAAAAAACAAACAACCCCATTATCAAATGGGTAAAAGATATGAACAGACACTTCACAAAAGTGGACATCCGAGCAGCCAACAGACACATGAAGAAATGTTCAACCTCACTAATCATCAGGGAGATGCAAATCAAAACCACACTGAGTTCTCACCTAACTCCAGTCAGAATGGCAATTATCAGTAACTCAAAAAATAACAGCTGCTGGAGAGGGTGTGGCGGAAAGGGAACACTTCTACACTGTTGGTGGGAGTGTAAACTAGTACAACCTCTGTGGAAAGCAGTGTGGCGATTCTTAAAAACTCTAAATACCAACCCCCCATATGACCTTGCAATCCCCCTACTGGGAATATACCCTGAAGAACTCAAATCACTCTATAAAAAAGATACCTGCATACGTATATTTATCACAGCATTGTTCACAATAGCAAGAACCTGGAAACAACCATGTTGCCCATCAAAAGAGGACTGGATTAAAAAAATGTGGTACATATACACGATGGAATACTACGCAGCCATAAAAAAAAGAATAAAATCATGAATTTCGCAGCAACCTGGATGGAACTAGAGTCTATAATACTGAGTGACCTCTCACAGAAACAAAGATCCGAGTATCACATGTTCTCACTCATATAATGGACCTTGAACATCCAATGTAATACTATAAGAAAATGACTGACGGTACTGGGAAACTATGGGGGGGATGGGATTAACAGTAGCAAATATCTGTCTGGGGATGGGGAAACACCTCTTATCAACAGGGTGCCTAAGTGAAACGTAATTGTACACCTAACCTTTAACTGTACCCCACAAAACCATAATAAAAAATATTGATTATGAAAAAAAAGGAAAAAATAAAAATAAAAACAAGCAAGCAAACAAAAAACTGTGAAATTGGCTTAGACCAGAACAGAGTAGTTAGAACTCACCCTATGCTTGTTCTTGACACAGCATTAAACTTGTAAAGATAAAATTGTTTACATATCATCAATAAAGCAAGCACAAAATAATGAGAAAATAAAAAAGAGGAAAGTTTTGACCACATAATACTGAAGGTAGATTCGATTTTAAAAGTATATAAGAATGATAGGAGTTTTACTGTAGTAAGTAGGTGAGAATAGAGCAGATTAGCTTTGAGAGTTTTTCCTAAGTTTTTATTTGCAGATTCTTTTTCCTGAAAAAGTTTAGTGAATATAGAATTCCATATTCTGAAATACCAGTGAATAAGCATTTCTTTAAATGGTATGTTTCAGTCTTATAACTTAGCTGACATCACCATACAAAGACTTTGGTCAGGTACTGGCTTTTAAAAACACAATCCTTCTGTGCTCTTTATTTGACGTGATACACATCTGCATTATAGACAGTTTTCTCTCACAGAATAAATGTATAAAAATCATGGACACTACACACTATGTTATAGTTCTCATGAGTCATAAATGATACTTGGCCTTTTTTCAAATAATGAAGACCAGTCTCATTGGAAATGTTGAAAACACACATTTCTGCCATCTCCTTTGGTGTTAACGTATATAAATGCTTAAAATGCTGAACAGAAGGAGACAAGGGCAGCAGCAAGTTTTTGTCAATGTCTTTTGCCGAAAGGTTCCTGTAAGTGGCAACATGTTGGATACTGATTCTCGGTTGCATTCTGAAGTTGTGCATCTGGGAAAGGTGAATGGAGCAGTCACATATATACCTAATTTAATGAGAGTGGGCTCTAAACCTCACGCTGGAGTCACCAAAGGAAAAGTTACACCTCACCCAAGATGATGAACAGTCCAAGAGAGGGCAAGACAATCTCTATTACTTACTGATAACCAGCATTTGAGCATGGAAAGTAGAGAGAAGTGGGAAGGGGATGAAAGCAGTTTTAAATAGCTCACCATCTCTTTATTATATTTTTAATGAAAGTGTGAGCAAACTTGACCTGTTCCAGAACACCATGCCCATCTTTGCTTCATTCCCTTTTTCCACACCCCAAAGGTAAAGCAGGAGAGAAGCATGTGGATGCCAAAACCATTCCAGTCTCTCCTGCCCCCACTCCTGGGGCTCCAAACCAAGCCTTCAGCTCTTCCTACCTGGTAGAGCTCATTGGCAGTGCACTGAGTGGTCAGTGTCTTCACAGGCTCAAGGTCATCTTCATCACTGCTCAGCTTTAGGTCATCTTCAAGCATTCTACAAATAAATCAGAGTGGCATTTGAGTTAGAAAGCGTCTTTTCTAAATCATTCTCAGATACATCTTGCAATGAGGATAAAATATTGGAGCTACAATCTGACAGCTGCAATTCTGTCAAAGGTGCAGAGGGAACCAAGATTCTTTCAGCTAATTAGATATTTGAGCTCTTTTATTTATGTCATACTCTGCACATATCTTCCCTCTCTACCTTCCCCTAAATCAAGGGGAAAAAAGACTATTTCAGCATCTCTAGAGATGGCTGGAGTCTATATATTTTTACTACTAAAGCTGCAATAAATGTACTGATCAATCAATGTGTAGGTGGGATGTGGCACTGGATCTCTATAGGACAAGGTGCTCCGAGTCATCCAAGAATGAAGAGGGGCATAGAAACAGCTCCTCACTCTAGAGGCTGTTAATGAAGCCTGCTGGGGCTTTCTGTATGAGACAGGCAAAAGTCACAAAAAATTTCCACAGTCTTTTAGGGCCCTTTGTTTCTGGGTAGCTCGGTGGCCACAAAAGAGTTGGGCAAGAATGGCTAGTCATTAACCTTTTGATATATGGTTGATCTCTTCCGGTAAAATTTGAACCAAGAGATGTAAGCCCATGATGTGGATATGAAATCTTTCTCTCTTAAGGCAAGGCATCTGAAAAATATGAGTGGTCTGGATTTTGGTGATGAAGTAGCACTTTCAAAATTGTTTATGGAGCACACAGAGCCTTTTGTTTCTCCTGGGGTATTATTTCCAGTGCCATCCCCTTGAACTCAACATGTGAGTTACAGCAGGAAGAGTAGCTTATTATCTTTAAATTCCAGTTATACAACCTTCAAAGACCAACTGGTGTTCATATTTTACTTATGAAATGCAACTTTAGACCTCATCCCCAAGCTCCAAGAAAGGCAATCTCAGTCTCCCTGGACCAATGTACATTTCCCAAGCATCAGGTTTAGCTCCCAAGCTATAGTTCCCTTTCTCAATTCTGGAGATACTATTTCTCCATAGCCCTTCAGATCCCACTTCCTCTACAAAAGCTTTCCAGAAAGAACCCCTGTCTCAGAAAGAAGACCTTTCCCCCTCTGTTCACAGCTCTGACTGGATCACAGCACTGCTTTCCACTGATTCTCTCCCCATCAGTCCCTAATTCCCATGAAGGCAGTGGGTACAGCATTTTCACACTGTCCTTCATAACATTTTCCCAGGAATGAAAGAGTCTACTGGTCTCATTTTGCAGACAAGGAAGGAAAGGTCCAGAGAGGTGAACTGCTTTGCCCAAAGTCACACAGTTAGTTAGCGCTAGAGCCAGTTTAAAAATGTCCATCTCTGGGTTTCTACCAGTGTGTTTTTCCAGAAGTGAAGCGGGAAGGGAAAAACAGTTTCTAATTTGATAAAAGAGGAGGGCATGTTACTTAAGAGGTTATGCTCAAATTGCTAGAAAGCAATTCAGTCGTAGTGGTTATCCAATAACTTTCCAAAGAAAGCACAGCCCCCTCCACTTTCATACTCAACCACATAAGATCAAGATATGTTCAGCGGGTCTGCAAACTGAAGACTGATATAAAGGATGATTGGTGGAGAGGGCAACTGTTAGAGTTGGTTTTAGATGAGCTAAATTTGCAGGATTTATGATTGTCCTTCAAGAGAATAATGGATGTTTTGAAGATCTTAAAGAAAGAGAAAAAAATGTATCTTGGTATTTCTTTTGCAGTTGCAGGTTATGACTCTGAACAACTCTTTACAGACCATTTTGGGAAATGAAGACCATATCATTCTCATAAGCTATAGAAATTAAATATTTAAAAACTACCTATTCTTGTTATTATAAAGGCTTCATTTTTCATATATGTGTGTCTCTCAACACATGTTGAAAATATCTATGTTTTATATCCAAGTATGCAGCAAAATAAATAATGATAAATGATTCCTGAAATTTTTTTTTTTTGAGGTGTAGTCTCTCTCTGTCGCCCAGGCTAGAGTGCAGTGGCACACTCATGGCCATGCCAGCATTGACCTGCTGGGCTCCGGCAATCCTTCCACCTCAGCCTTCCAAGTAGTCAGAACTACAGGCATGCGCTACCTTGCCTGGCTAATTTTCAATTTATTGTAGAGATGAGGTCTAGTCAAGTTGTCCAGGCTGGTTTTGAACCCACGGACTCAGATAATCCACTCACCTCAGACTCCCAAAGTGCTGGGATTACAGGCTGAGCCACTGAGCCCGGCCAATTCCTGAATTTAGAGGGTCCATTTTTGTGTGTCAAAGAAAGTGCTAAGTATTTCATCAACAGCAGGGAATATGGTCGCCAAAATGCCTATGAAGAAGGTGCTCTTATTAGTCTCATTTTTCAGATGGGAAAATCATGGAGGCAAACGTGGAACCCAGACCATCTTCAGCCAAAACTTGAGAGTATACAATATTTTCCTATAGGATATGACTTATAAAAGATGGTGTATTAAATACAGTTGACAGCAACAACAAAATATCTCTTAAAACATATTAACATGGAGTCAAGATACTTGGATCCTACCTAATGTTGGCTAATCATAAACTCTGATATCTTGGGTAAGTAATTTACCAGCTCTGAGCCTCATCTGGGTCCCTTATCCGTTCAATGGGATAATACTTTGACTCTCCCAGGAGGGTGACGATGAGCATAACAGGAGCAAATGCATGAGGAAGTGCTTCACGAAAAAAAATTAATGCAGGGTATGGTTAGCTTGGAAAGACATCATCTCAGTTGGAAATATGGACTTCATTAATACAATCAACAAGTAATTACAAGCAGAAGTCTCTGCCTGCACTTTTGCTCCTCTTTTAATTTGCTGAGCAATCTGAAGGTAAGCTATGGTGACTTGGGAAATGTCTAAGAGCATCTCAAGGCCAGATCTAGAAATGGACTCATGCTGCTCTCCATGTGGAACTAGCACATCCAGAATCAGACCACAGAAGCCTGAACTCAGCAGTTATTTTAACCTCTAATCAACTCTATATGTTTGTAACGTGAAAATGAGATGCCCTTCAGTGTACAGTTCTGGAAATAGATAATCTACATAGCGATTGACATTAAAACACACCTTCCCTACGCAACAAGCTTGGTATGGATTTCTTGTTAATAAAGGACAATTTGATGCATATTTCTTTAAATTTTTTTTTTATTTTGAAGATGAGGCATATTTTCAAGTCCCAGTAAACACAAGTCAAGGGAATAACTAGAAAGGCAAACTACTATGCATTATCTCTGGAGGCACTGGGCATTCATTTCACTTCACTTCTTCCCTGACCTATTAAGCCTGATTATTGAATATACATGTACTTGTTTACATTTTCATCCTTGGCTAATGCTGAACATTACTCTAGGGAAAATGTAGGATTAGGAAAGATTTTGGATTTAATTATTATAGAAGCACCATTCACACCCATTGTAGTTAAGGTCGTCTCAGCAGAAAAAATGTTAATATCTTTTCATGAGGTTGTAATTCCGTAGACAAATTCATCACACATTGGATATTGCAAAATGTGAAAAAGAAAGCATGCTCATATAAATGTATGTCTGTGTGTATCTTAAAAAAACAGAAATTACTCTTTAACCTTTCAATTATATAAAAACAGAACCAAGTATACCTCCTTGGTGAAGTCAGATATTTGTCCAGCGTTTAGTAGTTCAATGTCAACCTTTGTGTGAAAATGCTCTATTTTTATTAGTACTATAACCAGTCATTTCTATAGTATTAAGATGTAGAATAGTTCATAAAACTGTCCAAAAAACCAAGTTTTTGATCTGAGGAGATGATACTATCAAAGTTCAAATAATGAAATTTGGAGCAGGTGAGATGGATTGAGCCAAAAGAGGATCTTTTTCTATCTTAAATTCTCTGAGCCTGAAGCTGAATCTGGTGGCTTCCAAGGGCTCCTTGCGCTGGAACATTCTAGGGAACTATGACATGACAGTTCCCAAGTGAATTATAACCATAAAATCATAAGATCACTCTCCATAAATTTTGTCAATTTATATGGTGGAATGCTTAGGTGATTTTCAAGAGGAAAAATAGAGGGCTTAAAACATCATTTTAGAATGTTTCATGGAAAGGAAGTCCCTGGTTGAAGCAGCATGGAATTAAGAGCAAGGGCCTTAGAGCCAAACAGACCTGAGTTCAAATACAGAAATTCCTAATGGGTTTGCTTTCTTGATCCAGTTAATAAAACTCTTTATATCTCAGTTTTTTCACATGTTACAATGGGCAAGAATAATGCCAACTCTGGAGAATTTTTAGAAGGATTAGACCAAAATGTTTATATTAATTGCCTAGGAGTCAATATAGCTACTAGCTATCACATTCACCTTAGTTATTATTGTTATTATTATTGTCTGAGCAATGGTGCTGTAGAGGTAGGAACAATTTTTTAAAAGCTGTGGTGGTGACCCAGAGACTGGCAGAGTATCAGCCACCACACATCGCTGGAAGCCTTTGACTAAATGAGGAGAGGTTTAAAGATTCTTAAGGAGTTTGGAAGGTTTTGGGTCTTGGACTTACTCTTCTAAAATCATCCTAAACCCATCAGGGCTGTCTTGGATTTTCTGAGATCCTTCTGGAGTGCTTAAGATCCCTAAGGGATTTGACAGCCAGTTGCAACAAGAAACACCCAGATAATTCCAAGTAAGAGTTAAAAAAATAACAGTGGCCCTGATGTTCTGATCCTTATACCTGGGGAGCTACCTTCAGGTGCAGAGAAATGAACCAAGGATGGTTCCCACTGGAAGTTGTGTTCACTTTGAGCACTTTGTCATTGGGCCTACCACTCTAAGGAGGCAGTGCCTACACATACCTGGCTCTGAACTCTGTATATTATACTGGGTTTAACAGGCTATTAGTTGATCCGGAATCTTTGCACAGAAGCAACCGTCAGAACCCTGAGTTGTTCTCAGGGTTTGCAAGCCTACAGTGTGCCTTTTTGTGAACCACAGAATGGTGTTCTACTGGGCAGAAAGCATCACTTGATACT